GTAAGAGGCCGGGAAGAGAGGAGAGTGATAAAACAGAGGCCCAAAAAAATGGTCTTCGCACATGCTTCCAACGAACAAGCATTAAAATTAAAAAATTATCGCATGGCACTAAACTCAGAAAACGCGCACATAGCCCGACGCCGCGTTTGGGAATTATAATTCCGCCGCTGGGTCGAGGTCCCACTAGCAAAGACGATTGAATGGAACACCTGAATCTGGACGCATTTTAAACACAAATGCAGAAAAGCAGTTCAATCTCGCATTTGTGCACCTTTCGACAAACGCGTCCAGATTCAGGCGTTCAATCCAATCCTGCTTGCTAGTGGGACCTCGCCCCTGGGGATTCAAACTCAGGTCTCGCTCAGTGCATGCGGAATTGTAATGCTTGTTCGTCGTCGGAAGCATGTACGAAGACCACACGTTTTTTTTTTTTTTTTTTTTTTTTTTTTTTTATAACCTCTTTTTTTTTTTTTTTTTTTTTTTTTTTTTTTTTAAACAACACAAGATATTAATTCTTATATCACTCTTCCTCTTCTTTCTTTCTTTTATTAAGATAACAATGAAGAAGGAAAAAAAATGGCCTTGAGATATCAGCTTCAAACGAACTTGGTGGCCCCAGGTAAAATTTCCAGAAGTACTCTGATTCCGCTGGGATTCGAGCACAGGGCCGAGGTCCCACTAGCAAAGAGGATAGGATTGAAGACCTGAACTGAATCTGGATGTGTTTTATGCTGTGATGCAGAAAAGCAGTTCAATCTCGATTTCCTGCACATCTCCATAACCTCGTCCAGATTCAGGCATTCGATCCGATCCTCTTTGCTAGTGGGACCACGCCCCAGGTGTGTATTCTATCAGTTTTCATGGGTGTACCAACTGAGCTAGGTGCGATGTTTTTTTTTTTTGTTGTTTTTTTCCCCTAATAATTTGGACCATTTCTCGATTTATGCGGCGCGTTGGTTTTCGGCGACTCGTTTTTTTTTTTTTTTTTCAATTGCGAATCGCTCTTAATTTTTTCTAATCCTCGTTCTGCTCCTGTTCCTGGTCGTGTTTCTCGTTGTCATTCACAGGGATTTCTGGTGATTATATAATATAATATAAGAGGTGCCACTGTCGGTTTTTCTTGTCGCCTTTTCTTGCACGACTGCTGTCGCTCAGCGGCCTCCGCTATCGTGGGAGTTATTTTTGGCACTTCCGTCTGGTCGGGATGCAGAGCTGTAGCACAATCGCCCCAGCTGAGGATGCTGACGTGTCATCACGTTGGCCTCCTTACGCTTTGCCACGTGGACATACTCAGCTCGAAGCTGATCACAGTCATGGCGGGAAGTCCACCTCCAACTGTGACAACGACAAGGACATTCCGAGTGTTGTAGGAGAAGAAGGAGAGGGAGAAGGAGGAGAGGGAGGAGGAGGGGGAGGAGAGGGAGGAGGAGGAGGAGGAGGAGGAGGAGGAGAGGGAGGAGGTAATTTCTTATCGTCATCAGCTTTGATTGCCGTGGGCTCTGGTGCAGAGGTACCTGTTCAATTGACGCTAACCGATGTAGATATGGATAAGAGCGCGGGAAAGCGACGAGGTGGGGAAGAAAGACGACAACAAAAAGTGGCGGGAACAGGACAAGAAGCCATGGCGGGAAAACCCCGACAAAGCAAGAGGAGGGGAAAAAAAGGGGAGAGTTCCTCCCCCTCCCCATCATCGTCGCCGTCATCATCATCATTGCCATCGCCAGCAAGCTCGTTCCTAGCCGCGGAAGAATGTCTTCAGAGATACAAACACGTGTCAATTGATCCCGCCGCTTACGTGGACGTTGATGATGATGCGAATCCGCCGCGCAGTGACGGGGTCGAGGGAAGTGCAGCAGGTGGTGTAATAGCCGCGCAGTGTCGCGGCTTTCTTCCCGCCAATGTGCGCCAAGCTTACGAATCTGTGTCATATACAGTCGCCTTTCCCCCCCCCTCCCCCTCCTCCTCCTCCTCCTCCTCTTTCTCCTCCTTCGCGTCTGTCTTTGACCGATCGCGAAGTCAACGTGGGAGCATCTCAGGTGAACCATTCATGGAGCAGAAGGAAGGGGGCATGGAGAAGAGGAGGGGGAGGGAGGGTGCTTCTCTCTCTTTCCCTTTGTCTGCTGGAGATCAACACACAATGTCCTTTCCTCGACAGAGTGAGGATCATCGTGTAATGGGGGTGGGGGCCGGGGGTACCAATTTACCACCCTTTACCCCTCACGACCCCTCCAACGACTGCAGTGATGGGTTTTTCCCTTCGAGCCCGGTGGCGATGGCCAACCCTCTGAGTGACGAACAGCTGTTGGCTGCTAACAGCGAACTGACCAAACCTCTAATGATCGTGGCAGGTAAGAAGGATCCAAGTGTTTTTTTTTTTTTTTTTGGTGATGGTGGTGGTTGGGGTGGTGGTGGTGGTGGTGCGTGCTTAAAAAATTGGCTCCGTTCTATTTCTCGATGGGAGGTGTGTTTCGATTCTTGTGCCCTTTTTTTTGACCTTTTTTGTTTGCTTTTTTTTTGGGTGGGGGTGCGTGCTTAAAAAATTGGCTCTGTTCTATTTCTGGATGGGAGGTCTTTTGATTCTTGTGCCCTTTTTTTTGACCTTTTTTGTTTGCTTTTTTTTGGGTGGGGGGAATGGTGTTTTTTGAAGTTTTTCTTTTTCTTTTTCCGTGCGGGATTCTAGTGCAAGGAATATGAGCGAGAGGGACAGACAGAGAACCAAATTGCAATTTCATGCTGTAGGCCTGATAGTCGAGTACCAAGCAGAAAGCACAATGCACCTAGATACCATCCAAATAAGAGCAACACAATGAACTCAGATGTCAACGTCAGCAGTCCCTCCCCACACCAACATAGTATCCAATGTCGCTCAACTTGATTGGCGATCTGCGCCCATCCTATCCTACTCAGTCTAAACTAGCCTACCCTACATAAGGCAACCGGAGTCGCTTCGAGCTGAAGACCAATGTATGTGACGGCGTGGCCAATGCAGACTGCCAGCATACACCAGGTACGTGCCTCTTCTCTCCTCATCACCCCCCGACTCCCCACAGCATGCGCCTGCCCTTCCTGAAGACCACCATCGCCCACACCAGTATGTGCCCCAGCAGCCCGGCTATGGCCGTCGTGCTCCCCACTGCCACAGCAGTGCCCCCCTCTCCACCTGCGCCCGTGTGCGCCCCTGGCCCTGGCGCTCGCTCTCTAGCGCTGTGCCACCGCCGAGTAGCAGCATGGCCGTGAGGTCGAGCCTGCCAGAATGATCCCCTTGGCTGGGCGCTCACTTTCCTATATGGAAAGTGAGCCTCGACTCTGGCTGGGTAGGGCCTGGCGTTCAGGGGCCCAGTAGCTTCACGTTGGACCAAAGTGTCTGCGCCCAGGCCCATTCAGACAGTTGCCTGGGATCGCGGCTTCGATGTGGCATACTCAGACCCACACGGGCCTTGCAAGGCCCGACAGTAGGGTTAGGGTTTTCGTAGGGCTTAGGGTCTGTGTCACCTGTAGGACCCAGTAGGACCCAGTAGGCGACTATTTATCTTCCCACTTCTGGCATCGACCAGACCTATTTAGGTGTGGCATAGTCAGACCCACATGGGCCCCGCAAGGCCCGACAGTAGGGTTAGGGGGGTTCCTTAGGGTTTAGGGTCTGTGTGACCCGTAGGACCCAGTAGGCCACTACCTCGTTTTTTTTTGTCCTCTTCCCACTTTTGGCATCGACCAGACCTATGCAAAAAAAACAGGTTCCTAATTTTTTGGCATCGACCAGACACCTATGCAAATTGGCGCCGGACTTTTCGTATTTTCGCCTGGTTCTTCCTTTCTGCAAATGGGCGCCAGACTTTTCGTGCTTTTGCCTGGCCCCTACTTTTTGCTATTTTTCGGTTTTGGCGCCAGAACAGAGTTCTGCTCTTGGCGCCAGACCCAGTGTATATATAGCTGGGTCGACCTCATTTCTAGGCAGGTAGTTCTTAGGTAGAACTCACTGAGGTATTGCTAGGCGCTTCTCAGTGGTAGCTCTGAGGTAGTAGTGAGTAGTCTTCAGTAGTCGACGCGCTGGGCGCAGTTAGGTCCCAGGCCACTCTGGTAGCCTAGTCTGACTGTCAGTTTTTTTTTTTTGCTTATATATATATATATATATATATCGTCACAAACAGATATATGATATATAACTCCGACGAAACAGTTTGTCACAGCCCCTCGTTTGTTGTCCTCTTCTCCCTCTCTGCCTACGGTTTACCGTAGGCAGTTCTATTTGACGATATATATATAAAAAAACAGAACTGCCCGGTAAACCGTAGGCAGAGAGAGAGAAGAGGACAACAAACGAGGGGCTGTGACAAACTGTTTCGTATATATATATTTCACCTGCCTGTCAGTTTTTCTTTTTTTGCTTCTAAAAACGAAAAGAAACTGGTTTAAATTTTAAAGACAAAAAAAAAATGCAGCCCCAAATTCCCCCCAATTGGGTGGTAAGTCCCATCCAAGGCTAAATACGTGCGAGGGACCAATAGCAAAGAAGTTCCGTGAGGGAAGGATGAAGGGAAAAAAAAAAAAAAAAAGATTTGACCTTTTGTCTGTTTGTCTGTTTGTCTGTTTGTGCTGTGTATCTTCGTATCTGGATGTCTTAGTCGATATATGTGCTGGGACTGGAAAGACAAAAGCTGATATTAAAAACAAGGGAAATTGCATTCGTACCCCACTTAGCAACTTTTGTTTTGCCGCCTCTTAGTGCTGCGGAAATGGCAAGCTGCTTGAGCATTTGACAAACTAACAAAGATGGGAATACCCACTATACCCACCCGTCCCAGTACGAACTTGCATCTATACCTGGACCCCATTCATCTTTGCAGATTCATAGTACCCAGCTTTGTCCCCTGTACGAAATTGTAGGTGTACCCAGTCCCGCAGGCCCTGGATTTAGAGCACAAAATTATGCTCATGCCCACCAAGCAGACCGTTGTGGCCCAGCGGCGGCCAGGTATGAGCATAATTTCAGCCATCCGGTAGCAGGGTATATGAACAATTTGGCCTCTCCTCCTCAGGTCCTGGGTATGCCCATTATGCCCATAATGCTGCCTGGGTATGTCCATAATTTGTGCATTCTGGTAGTTGGTTATAACCGCAATTTTGCGGTACGAACCTGGGTTCACCTTGGTCCTGGGCATGCAAGCAATTTCCGCCAGCCGTTTTCTGGGTGTAGACGCAACTTGGCGCTGGGAATGGGTATAGCCGGTATTCCCATCTTTAAGTGGGGTACAGAAACAAAGTAAAAGATTTGCCCATTCGTCTGTTTGTCTGTTTCTGGTTTCAAACTTTGTATCTGTATCTGGATGTCTTCACCGATATAGGTGCTGGGATTGGGAAGACAGAAACTGATTGAAAAAAAAAAAGGTTAAAAAAACAAAGATTTGCCCTTTTGTCCTTTTGTCTGTTTCTACTTTCCAAGTTTGCATTTGTATCTGGATGTCTTGACCGATATAGGTGCTGGGACTGAGAAGTCAAAATTTTGATTTTTAAAACAGAAAAAGTTGAAAAACCGATTTAAATTTTAAAAACAAAAGAAAAGAAAAAGATTTCTCCTTTTGTCATTCTGTCTTTGTAACTTTGTATCTGTATCTGGATGTCTTGACTGATAGGTGCTGGCACGGGGCAGACCCAGCACGTGCTGCTCCCCACGAAGATGGGGCCGGCCACCCCACATAAAGGCCGGTGCTGGGAGCCTTACTTACCCAGCTTCGCTTTTTACAGGACCTCCTGCCAACAGAGTAAAAAAGCCAAAAAGCAAACATAGAGAACTGCTGCCCCTACAACAGGCGTGGGCGCTTATCGTGTGGTCTGTAGCAAGGGCACCCTGGTTGATGTTTTTGTCAAAAAAAGAAAAAAGAAAAAAAAAAGGAGTGCTCTATATGATTCAAGAAGGTGTGCTAAATTGCTGTGGAAAAGGAATGAGACTTTCGCTCGCCAAAATGGATATGGAGCCAGAACCTCAAGGCTTTATTTTGCCAAAAAAAATAAAAATAAAAATAAAAATTATTTGTCCTTTTGCCCGTTTGTCTGTTTCGGATTTGTAACTTTGTATCTGTATCTGGCTTTCTTTACTGCTAGGTGCTGGCACTGGGAAGACCCAGACCATGGCCAACAGAGTGCTCTATATGATTCAAGAAGGGGTTCTGCCCAGCAAGATCTTGGCGCTCACTTTCACTAACAAGGCTGCTGTGGAGTTCAAGGAGCGGATACAGCACGTGTATTTCAGCCACGCAAGGAGAAGAGCGGCGCCAAAAGTAGATATCGGGCGAGTCACCGTAGCCACATTCCATGCTCTCGGCGTTAAGTGGGTTGGGCTTCACCACAAGTTGTTGGGGTTCAAGCGCCGACCGGTGATTTATTCGACCAAGGCGCAGAAACTTGGGGTCATCCGAGAGTGCATTGAGGAGTACCACTTGGAGAACCGGATGCTGCAATGCGGGGAGTGGCTCGGACTTCCTTGCAAGTCTACCACCACCTTGCGGGAGGTGATCACGGCCTTCAAAGAAGCGCACCCGTCTTTGTACGAAGAGTGCGAAAAAGTGGCTAGGGAGAAGACAGGCAGGGAGAAGGAGAAGGAGACGGAGCGGCAAAAGCGGAAATCGGGGGAAATGAAGCGGAAGTCGTTGGACTCTGAGCATGGAGAACAGCCGGAGCAGGCGGACGAAGAAGGGAAGCAGAGGGAGGAAAAGGAGAGGAAGGAGAAGGAGGAGGATGAGGAGGAGTGCGCGCGGAAACGGAGACAGCAGCCGCATCACGAAAGCCTTGCACGGCTCTGGGGTGCTCCTGTTGTTTGTGAGGGAGGGGAGGGCAATTTTGCAAGTTCTGCCGCGCAGAAGGGTAAAACAGGCAGCAGCTTGCAGACAATGCAGAGGGAAGATCAACCAGTCCCTCAGTGGCAGGGAATGGTACGCGAAAGCGGCTCTGGCCAAGCGGCTACGAAGGCAATGTCGGCTGAGGCCGCCTTCGAAGAGTCCATAATTTTTGGGATATTTTTGTGTGACAAAATGTACCATGTTTTGAAAGGTGTGGAAATCGAAAAGATAATGGCCATGAAGAGAGAACGGAGAGGCGCAGAAGCAGACACAGACACAGACGCAGATGCAGACGGGGACGAAGGGGGGAAGCAAGTGTCTAAGCTGTCAGAAAGTGGAGAAACAGCTGAGTACTGGGAAGATAAAGGCATGGACGTCCTGGATTACGGACCTGGTTACACTGAGGCTGAGATAAATTGGCTTGAGAAAAGACGCCGTGAAAGACATGCGGAGTCAGAGAAATCGTCGAACGACATAGACGCAAGGGACGTGGAGGATCTTCTCCGATTCATTGAACGTGCCAAGACTCGTGGATTGAACCCTGGGGAGTTTGTGAAGGAGCGGAAGGCTATATTTTCGCGGTATCAGAGGAGGGTCGGTACCTGATCTCACCTCAGTTTACGTCTTTGCCATGAATAGAATGTGGTGTCATTATAGCATCTGCATCTGACCAGGAACTTGTGTTTTGTACAGATCTTGTCGTAGCCACATCTGACCACAAACGTGTGGTTAGTACAGATCTGATGACCCTGGAGTTCCTGTGGGAAGGGGGTACACATACTGGGGCACATGTCATACCTGCGTGCATACATCACCCCCTCTCTTCTTTGCTTTATCTGAATGTGGTGTGTTACGTACGATCCTGGTCATCCCCAAAGTGCAAATTCACAATGAAAGACAATGCCACCCAATTGCGAAAGAAATGAAAGCACTTGCAAAGAGATAGAGACCAAAGAAGACAGAAAGAAGAAGAAGAAGAAGAAGAAGAAGAAGAAGAAGAAGAAGAAGAAGAAGAAGAAGATGTACACCAGCAAGACCAATGACAAATCCCCCTTCTCGCTCCACCCTCCTCCTCCTCCTTCACTTCGCCAATCTTATTCTTCTTTCAATAATAATAATAACAATGAGAATGAGTGGATGAACCAGAATCAATATCCGAAGTTCCCTCTTACTGCTGACACAACAACAGGTCCACCATAGCCATGGCTTCCCCCTTCTTCCTCCTCTCACAAGCCTAGGCTATGGCGGACTACTACGGGCTCTGCCCTCCTGTCCCATCGGACAACACATAGCAGCTATGTCGCTGCTCCTCATGTCGCCATGCCTGACTCTGCCTCGAGCTTCCTTGGTGCGGCAGTGCCCCAACCGGGGCCTTCCAGATGCAGCGCCTAACAAGGTGATGAAGATGGTGTCCACCATAGCCAGGCAGGTACCGCGCCACTCCTCCTTTGCCCCCTTCTTCCTCCTTCTCAGGCTGGGCTGCTCGACATAGCCAGGCTGAGCGCCCAGCTGCTCTTCCTCCACCAGGCAGCGCTCTCCAGTCCAGCGCTTGGCTCCAGCAGTATGTCGCCAATCCTTGCACACCGCAAATGAGGAGGAGCTGCTTGCTCCTCCTGAAGATATAGCGGCCTGCTTGCCTCTTGGGCGGTGACTTCCAGGCCGCTCGGCCTCCCAGCAACCCGTACCTCCTCCCTTTCGGAGGGAAACATCATTGCAGGCTCTGATATCGTCCGGACAGGACCTAGACTCAGGCTACTTGGACTGGTACCGGCCTACCTCTAGCCTACCGCTACTGGGCCTCTAAAAATGCCAATTTTTGTCTTCTTCTGCTCGGCCTCCAGTACCCGACGCTTCTTCCACTACTTGAGTGGTACCGGCCTACCTGCTACTTGAGTGTTTTTCCCGCTGCGCTAAGTGTCGCGGGCCTACCCCCACTACTTGAGTGTTTTCCCCGCTGCAACCCTCAAAGTCACAGTCACAGGTAAGTACCGGCCCTGTGGGGCCTTTCAACCAGCAAGTACCCTTGCGGGTCACACACACACTCAGGCCGACAAGCACTCAGACAGGCACGCAGACCAGCAGGCATGCGCACACACACACACAGACTTAGAAATCACAGCAGAATGCAGGAATCTCAGCAAGGCATACATTCCAGCGGCAAATCCCAGAAATCAGCAGTGTTCTCAGTCTGTGGTTTGGCGGGTCATTACAGGTCATTATAGCTTCTGCATCTGACCAGAAACATGTGCTTAGTACAGATCTGATCATCCTGGAGTTTCCTGCGCGATACATTTCATGCGTGGATACATCAGCCTCTCACTTCTTTGCTTTATGTGTTCTGCCATGAATAGAATGTGGCGCATTATAGCTTCTGCATCTGACCAGGAACTTGTGCTTTGTACAGATCTCATCATAGCTGCATCTGACCAGAAACATGTGCTTAGTACAGATCTTGATGACCCTGGAGTTTACAGTGGGCAGGGGGTATGCATACTGGGGTACATGTTATACCTGAGTACATAAGCCTCTCACTTGCTTTACGACTTTGCCATGAATAGAATGTGGTGTCATTATAGCTTCTGCATCTGACCAGAGACTTGTGCTTTGTACAGTTCTCACCGTAGCCGCATCTGACCAGAAACATGTGCTTAGTACAGATCTGATGACCCTGGAGTTTCCAGTGGGCATGGGGTATGCGTACTGGGGTACATGTCATACCTGGATACATCATCCTCTCAC